GAGGAGCAAGTCAGGAGGAACACTAATGTTGTTTTAAAAACACTCTGTTAAGAATCCTCTGACTATAATTAACTATACTACATGAGAAAAAAAATAAATAAAATCCAAGTCCATCTAAAACCCTGCCAGGTTGGAAGCTGCAGCTTCTACTGTGGTTGTGATCAGCCTGTTGCTGAAACAGGCCTGTATCCGTCTCAGAGTAACCTACTTCCCTTTACCTACAACTTTTGAATGGAAGCAGCTAAAAGAGTTAATTTGCTGTAAGACTCAGTGTTTGAATTTGAGGGTTTCATTGCATTGCTGTAATGTACAATTCAACAAAAAAAAGGATATTGGGAGAAGGCTACATTGTCCTTTTTACTTATTTTAGCAAATTAAAATCATATATATACTTTGATTTAACTTGGTGAAATATTTCAAGATTTTATTATAGCTTTGATGATGAAGGCTTTCATGTAATTAAAGACAAATGTTCACAGAGTCTCAAAATATTTAATATCAAAAAAGTTCAAACCCTAATCAGCTAACCTACATCTATAGAGGTTTCCTGAGGTTGTAAATGGTCATTATGTCTGTCGAGTGACAGAGACGTAGGTAAGACTATGACTGGACAAATATTCAGAAGCAAGTGGTAGTGTTGTTGTTGGTCAACAAAAGTCTACAATCAATGCCGCCATTTAGCAGGACACTTTAGAAGACTTTATGGTTGCTAATAATTTTTATAGATGCAGATTTCACTTTCCAGCATAACATGACCCCTCCTCCATTGCCAAAGGTGGTTCATCAACGATAGAGTTACAGTTTTTGAATGATGACCAAACTGGCCTAACCTGAATTGTACAGAAAGCAGCCTGGCCTTCCATCAGACCGCAGCAGTGCCACAGGCTCATCGCCTCTATACCACGCCGCTTTGATGCAGTTATTTAGAAAAATGAAGGCCTTATTAAATGCTGAGTCATAGAAATGAACAAATTACCATTTCTGTATATTTTCCCCTTTTTCTAATTGATCTTATGTAATATTTAAATTTTCCCAGATACTAAATTTGGTATTAAAAATAGAAGAAATGAAGGCTATAAACATTTTACTGTATAGTCATGGACAAATATTAGACCAGTTTTGTCATCAAACAAGAAAAGAAAGATCAAATGCCTAAAAGCACTGGTTGTAGCTGTACAATGCCATAGGTCCTTAAGGGTTTTGATTATTATAAAGGAAGCATTAAAAACTGCAACTAACAGCTCTTAAATTTAACTCTTCGGAGCTGTTTTAATATCCAGAAACAATTCTGACTGCCATGGACATTAAAATGAGCAAGAAAACAGAGACAACCTTGGCAGTGTAAAAATTTTTCTCTATGACTCTAACGAATACATGAGCTTCATTTTATAAAAGAAGAAACAAAAACATTTTGAACTTTTTTACAACATATAAGGTTTTATATACATATACATGTAGATGTCAAAACATAATTCTGGGGAAAAATGTCAACATTTCACATTAATTTAAAACCTGTGTCTAATTACTATTATCATACCATGCCTTTAAAAGTCCCTTCAAGCTTCTGATACACCTGTGGCTGGAGAGGGAAGCTAAATACTGGCGATACTGGTGTTTGGCGTTTGGCTCAGACAAAACCAGAAAAAAAGAAACTGCTCAAGAATGTCTCTAGCTTAGCTAAACCAGAAAAACAGGCATAAAAATGTATGTTTCTTTTCTCACTTAGATACAAATGTAGTTTAATGACTTTAGGTTTAATATTTGATGGCTAATTTGATACAAACAAACCATTTGTTCTGGGACCTCCATTCTCATCGACCTTTTCAGAAAACAATTATGACTTATGTGACCTTACCAACTTACTCTATTCAGATCGTTGCTCAAAGTCCTGATTATAACCAGATTGTTTGACTCAGTGTGTTGTTCTCTTTGCTCTTGTCTCTTTGCAGAACTTTCCTGTTATACTGTGTTTCTTTTCTAGACAGAACCACCTATAGAGCTAATTTACTATTACATTTTCCAACTGCTGCTTCTATTTTCTTGAACCCAAAGTCGCCCTCAGCCAAAGTCCCCCATACTACTCCGGGTTTTGTTGGAGGTTTCCTGTTAAAAGGAGTTTTCCTCTCTAGCGTAGCAGCATGCATGCATGATATGAGAGATGGAATGGACCACTGCATGCTCATTTGAAGGAGTTAAATCTGCAAATCAATGACTCAATCATAGATAGAACATTTTTAAACCAATCAGTCTGTAGGATTAAACTTATTTTTTTTTTTTTTTGCATTTACAGCTGTTTTTGGAAAACAGACTGACAGGAAAGGGGGTATGAGAGAGGAGGAGAGACATGCGGCAAAGGACCAGAGGTCAGATTGGAACCCAGATCAGCCACATCGAGGACTAAGGCCTCCATACATAAGTCATGTGCACTAACCACTGCGCCAACAAAGCATGACAATGTAGCATTAAAGTTAATTGACCCACTAGATTGCCCTTTAATGTGTCCTAAACAGGTACTATAACTGAACTGCGCTAGAAATAGCAGAAAGACAGGAAATATTGTAAAAATTATCCTTAACTCAACTTTCTTACATTTTTTTCTTCTTCTAGAAATATGCTTTTCCTTTTCTCACTTTGTGGATCAATGTAATAGACAGCTCCACTTTCGTACGCCAATTTCTTTAGATCCAAACATTTTTTTCTATCTTTTTCATTATGAACATGCTAAAACAATGTAAATGTCACTATTTGATCAAAATATTATGTTCTATTAAGCACATGAACCACAGAGTGACAGAACATTGCAGGTCATGTTTATTTTGCCTGGGTTACAGGAAGTTTTACGTGGTACTATACTGCCCTCTGCTGGAAGTGTACAGCTCCTGCCAGAAAAGGCTTTCTTCACCATCAAGATCAATTAAGAAAATGTTGTAGATATATCTGTTAATTAACCTGACAGTCTCCACCTGGAAGAGCTTCTATTTTCCTTATGTCATTTATAAAAAATGTCTTGTCATTGATATGGGATGTGGGCTATACAACAGCAAAACCAAAACAATCTAAGTTACATTTATTCATCTTATTTACAAAAACTTTCTTTAAAGTCATGTTGAACAAAAAGTAACACAAGTAGGTTACTCTAAAGTAACCTGACTGGATAAGGTACTTAGGAATTTACACTATTGAGGAATTTACTATCTCAATCTTTCAGTAAAAATGTTGTCTGACTGTAGAGATGAGGAACTAAGTGAAGAGAAGCTCCAAGGGGTTAATAATAGTATGGCTAAAGAAAATCACATCTCCTTTAAACTGGTCTGAGCATTAGTTGTTGTCATTGCGTATCAAGAAATTCATGCAGGTTTATTTTACAACTTGCATGAGTAGCCTTTTTTAAATCATGGCTTTTATATTTATGAAACTGAACTTTGTCAAACTAAAGTTTGGATAATTTATGATTCTTTGTGAAAATCTGCTTTGTATTTATGATTTCTTGACACTTAATAGCGCAAGGAGGTTTTTTAGGCTTTTAAGTTATGTTTTACACGAACTCAAAGCAACACACATTTGTATTTACACTGTTAAATGAAGTATTACATCTGTATATTGAGACAGATTTGTTTAGTTCAAGGCAATCTGTGGAGTTTGCAAGGCAACTCAAACCCCACATTTTCTAGAGATAAATAACTCAGTAATCAAAAACAAATAAATCAGAGATCTTTCTGGGTTACATGAATATCTGGCCAAATGTCCTGGTAGCTGGATCAAAAAATAGACGATTGTCTGAAAAGCAGAGAGCACACAGGAAATGGCAAACTTAAACAGGAAGGGAGAAAATAAAACGATCTGATCAGGTCTGTACTGATCTCATGAAGACAGCCAGTGCAGCTTTATTGCTTAAATAACTTCATTTACAAACTTACATTTTGGATCACAGAGTCTGCATAAGAAACAGAACATAAAAGATTTTTTTTTGGATGATTAAAACAATCTTAAAGCCTTTAGGGTTGCTATGACACAACAGGTTAAACAAAAGCTAAACACCATAGGAACTGTCTGAAGTAACAGTCTAGTCTGATCCACATTTTGACCTTCATCAAGATTCTTCTCAGAAATAGTCAACTTCTGTATATAAATATATGCTTCAAAGACATAAAAACCGGCTGCTGACTTTATGCAACAGCTACGCTATTATTGTGCGTGACTTGGGAGCCTTTGTAGTATTATCTTCTCAAGGCAAATACAGGTTGATCTCAATTAATTTAACATCATCACAAAGTTGTTGTTTTTTTTATTCCATTATTACAATTCAAAAAGGTAAAACTCATGAATCAATTTACATAAAGCAATGCTTTGAAAATCTAAGTGAGTATATATATATATATATATATATATATATATATATATATATATATATATATATATATATATATATATATATATATATATATTGTTGAGTGTTTTCAAGCAGGGTTAGCCAANAAACTGTTGAGTGTTTTCAAGCAGGGTTAGCCAAAAAAGTTTGTAGAGTTCTGCATCCAAGCATGTTAATGTAGAGTGCAAGAGGAAAAAAAAAAAATCTAAAACCAGGAAATGGGAATTACCACTCCCTGGACAGGATTGTGCAACCAAGAATACATTTCTCAGCATGACTTAGCATCTGTCCACACCTGTTCACAGAGGGAACAAGCAGAGGAGCTGAAGGCAGCTTCCAATCAACCCCGGCTTCTTTCAACGCTGCACTGAAGCAGTAAATCCTCCAAAAAGGAGCTGTGGAGAAGATGAACTGCTTGTACAGTAAAGTGCATGAACACACTTCTCATTAGGTTGCCATTTGGGTACAGCAATGCAATGAAACCCTCAATCCTTTTATTGGTTGAATGGAATGTACTAATTGAAGGTGACACTGAATTTTGTGTTTTAGTCTGATATAGCAGCCTGTTTGTAAAAAATCTAAACATGAGTTTTAAATGCTGAATTGCATTTCTGAAATACATTCCTTTTTGATGATGTTCTAATTTACTGGGATGCGCCTGTAAGTGGTCCATTAATTGCCCATATACCTCAAAAAGAAAGGCAGAACTGTGCGTGTTTTAATACATCTTGGACCCAAAACAAACCAAATATTTCTAAGTAAAAGAACAAAGATGTGGAATTAGAAATTAAAAAAAAGTTAACGGAGCAGTGTTTGATATTCATGAGGCACTTGTATAAAACATTTCTGTCTTTTCCGCAGAGTGCTGGGAATACAGAATGTTGAAATACGTTTTTATAAACACACCGCAAAATAAACAGGAATGCGTTTTCCTCCACATCCAGAAACACCAAGCTAGAGGAAGTACAAAAAAAAAATAAATAAAAAGTTCCAATAGTACAGAAAACAAACAGTTTCAGACCACTTCATCATGTGTTCACCACATGGAGACATCAGGGAACAGAGTTGTGGCTCAAACGGTCTATTTCAGAATAATTATTCTTGTTGTTTAAAAAGGTTATGCAGCCGTTGCTGGAGTTAAAACAATAGACACAAACCCCGATGATGAAAAGACAACGAGGGGCATTAAACGCCACACCTCCATCTGGTGACATGGTTCAGTTTCTTCCTCACTGCTTCTGACCTTTGGGCTGGAGAGTTTCATCATTTCAGAGAAGCACTCGTTACAGCTGCCCAGATGCCGCCTCTTGTTCCAGCTTCTGCTTTGTCAGGAAGTACTTGAAGAACTCATACACCGACCAGGCGATGGCGGTAGAGGGCATCTGGTATATAACCCGCGCTTGGACCCCTTTGAAGAAAGCAGCCAGACCTCCGAGTCTGTACACCGTCCTGAAAGCATTGGCCATTCCCGACAGGTGGCCGCTGATGTTCACAGAGGTCAGCGCTACATTCTCTTGTGTGTTTAGCAGCGTTTTACAAACGTCTAGTGGAGTGGTTACCGCTGCTGAAACCGCCCCCGCCACAGCGCCGGACACGATGTGGCTCCCCGGGTTGTAGTGCCTGTGAGGGTTCAGCTGCTCCTGCATCAGTTCATAGGTGATGAAGTGGACTGCTTGGAAGGGGATGTTCATGGTCAGCTGAGTGCTGTAGCTGCGGTAGAACGCGCCAACGCCTTCAGTGTGCGTCACTGTCCGAACACAGTCCCAAAGTCCTCGATAGGGAGAGTTGTACATCTGCATCCTCTGTTTTACAACTGGATGAAACAAAAGCTGTGTTATTAGAATTTATTTAGATTAAAGTAACTTAAAAAAAAACAAAAGTGTTGACCATAAAAAATATGTATGTATGTATGTATACCCTTGAATATACTGAAATTTACCTCCACTTCCTTACGTATTCATTGCACTAATCCAAATTAGGTCTGAAACAATAATTAGCTTAATCTGGATAAATCTTTTATTGAAATAATCGCCGACTAATTTAGTTATTGATTTATCTTTAACTGGAGTATAGAGGCTCCAAAACAAGTCTGTACCCGATAGAACAATCCACCTTGAGCAGCATTTATAACAAGATTACAAAAAATATGTAAACATTTTGCATTTAAGATGAAAATGTCTGTCAATATGCTCTATCCAGAACTCCTTAAGTGGAAAAGTTTTAGTTTCACCTGGTTTAATTATGTAAACACTTATTTAAGGAACCTTTGGCTATCTGATTATTAATCAAAAAAAATAATCGACAGATTAATCGATTTGCAAAATAATTTACTACAGTTGGTCCCATAACAATATACTTACAATATTCCCTCTAAAAGTATAGGTCTTATAGATCTTTATATGCAACCTTTCATATCCAAAGAGCCATTTTTTTTCCGCAAATCCGACTAGCTAAAGGTCTTTTAGAGCTGCAAAATATTTCATTATTGTTAAATAAAACACAACCTAGATGTAGATAAATTATGTATTTAATGACCGATCCAATTTGAAATGGTAATACATCGAAGTGGGTCTTTATCATTTAATTGCCATTTTCTTACCTTCAGCTGGATTCATGATGCCATCATGCAGGACGGTGGCCACACTCCCTGCAACGCCTATTAAAACATCAACAGACATTGTTGAGTCTGAATCTGTGACTGAGCTCATAGTTATTCTGATAACAGAAAAATATCAGATAAGGCAGAAATGTATGCAAGCCACAGGCAGCATAACAGCGAATTCTACTAGAACAAATAAAAAAACATTCAAATGGATGGATGCCAGGTTGGATTTTCTCACAGCTGGTAAAAACATGACCTGGCTACTGTAAACTGTACATCGATTTTAATAACTCTACTTTCCCAGAAAGCAGCTGGGGTTATGTTTGCAAGGGCTTTGAGGAGACATGGATGTTCGTACCGTTGGCTATGTGGCTGTTGCCTCCGCTCTGAATGATGTCACTCAGCGAATGCTTCACACGCTCATAGCAGGCAAAGTAGAGTGCATGTGCAGGCCCAGCTCCCATCATAGTGATGTTGAGGCCCCTCAGGGGTCTGAAGATTCCCTCCGTCTTGATGATCCTTTTGAGGGCTTCATAAACACCCTTGTACTGGGCGTTGGGGTCCGGCTGCAGGCTCTGCATCCGTGTCTGAAATAAAATCATGAAATATAAATCCCTTGATAATGATTATTTTATTTCTCTGGGCTGGATTTTATCCTCTAACAGTTTAAGCATCCAACTAATTGTCTTCTCTAATCATTATTAAGAGCTTTAAAGAAAGCGATTCATGATATTTCTAATAAACTGTAGAGCTCTTTAGCTCCTCTACCAGAAGGAGGTCTTGGCATTTGCGAGATCTCTTCTGAGCGGCTATCCCAGGCTGGCTCAAGAGGCTGTGGCAGCTCGTTGTTTAACTCCCACCATGCCAAGTTATATGGACAGCACAAAGCATGTTTTCATTTGCAGGGAGATTTGGGGCTGGCTAAGAAGATTAGCCAAGTTTGTCTTTGTCAGCATGTTCTACTGAGTTTCCTTCCTTTGGTTCGACAATAAAATATCAGTTACGTTTCCTCTGGACAAAGATTTGGCAATTTGAAGACTAATCGTCTGGCAAACTGACTCACTGGATGGGAATTTGGGACTGAAAATGAAGCAAATGATTCTCATCTCCTAATTTGGGGTTAAAAAAGGTCATACAATGATTAAACTGTTCAAATAGGAACAGTTATTAAAAAATACTCTCTTTAACAGTCATCGTTCATGAAGCCTTATTGCTCTTCAGACCACATGAGGTTTTAATCACTAACCTCCCAGATACGGTTATTAAAACATAAGTGTTTTAAAAATGTTTGAAGTTGAGAAATACTACATAAAACCAAACTGAATCACTTTTCAAACATAATATCTTATGACATTCGGTACTTTCATGTACACGATTGCTTTTCCTTAATCCAGTGTTTTTTGTTTTCCAAATGTTACAAATCTCACCCCCCAAAAAACCACAATTGTTTCGTAAAGGAATATGATAAGCTTAAGTAAAAATAAAACAACAATGTCATCATTCTATCATATTAAAAAGAAATGTAAAAAAATAAATAAAATAAAAAACCTGAGGACTTCAGGCACCAAAATTGTTCAACATATACTAATTATTGCAATTATAATAATGCAATCTATAACTTATATTATCTTGATTTTAGGCAGAAATATAAATAAAAACCTTCGGAATCTAATTGCATTTTTTCCTGTGCTTGTTACACAGATGACACCTTTGAGTCGGAGCAGAGAGTGTTGGCTGGTAGCCAAGGTGATCAGGTAGCCCGCCTGAGATCAGCTGCCAAACAGAGATGTCGCTTGTAGTTTACCGACTGTGGTTTTAAATTAGCTTTACCTTCATAAGAGTGATGGGAGGCACTCCTTTGGTTTCCACAGCTTGACTCTCCGTGTTTTTCACAACCGGAAATATTTTCAAGCCACAGAATCGGCCTTTTTCTGCAAGTATGAGAAAAACGTAGCAGCCGTCTTTCAGTCAGCGTCTAGGCGGTGCAGAGCAACCGTAGTGGAAGCGGGTTTCTACTTGACGTTATAATTTGTTATCCTTTTCTAGAATTTTGCATCCAGAAAAATTTATACTTTGTACATTTCAAGATTTTCCAAATTCACTGAGAAACTAAGATAAGATCTAATCAAGACTTTAAGAAAGCATCAGCAGCTAGTTTAAGCATAACCTAAATCAGTAAAAAAAAAAAAAAAAAAAAAAGCACTTAGAGAGCACAGACATTGGCAAAATGCCAAGATTTGTCCCATATTGTGACTTCTGGATCATTACCAAATTGTAATGAACTGTTCCTTGAAATGATGGTCACCTTTGGTAAAACTGTCCTTAAAATCCCTTCGTAAGGTTATAAATAAGGCACAGCATGTGTCTGCAGCCTCTGGTGTCTGTTCTGCTCTCACCTTTATTCACCTTGCTTTTTAATGCTCACTAATGCTTTTTAATGCCCATATATATATATATATATATATATATATATATATATATATATATATATATATATATATATAGCCACTTTTGTTGAAATTAGCATTTTCCCATTCTCTAGCTTTTTCTCTGCCTCAAGCTTCTTTTCCGAACACACAGCTTTACGATCAACCAGAAGCTGTTCTGCACAAATATATCGCAACATACCCCGGTAATATATCTGAGGAAATTGTTTTTATATATTTTTTTTTAAATAAAGCATTTTAAATACGATAATCACATTTAATGAATTTTAACGCCAATTAAGGCCTTGATTTAAAACAACAATGTAATGACTTTCATTATTTTAATGACCTGGATTATGGTGTGGATCATCACCAAAATTGAATGGATTGTTTCTTTAAAAATTTATTAAAATCCTTTCATAACTCTTTATGGCATACACAGACAGAGAAACACACAAACTTGACTAAAAACATAACTATCTTGGCAGAGGTAATAACAGGAAATAAACCCAGTATCCTAGGAGTAATTCTGAAGACAAAAATGTTTTATGTTGATTTTCTTTAAAAACTAAAATCATTCTTTAACTTTACATCTATTTTATTTTCAGTCAACTTAAAAGGAAAAGAATATATAAATTAAAATCAGTTTTTCCAACATGTCACAATCAGCTGACGCAACTAAAAAAAGCAACAAACCAATGTTGCCAATAAACCATAAAGGGGAAACAGGCTGACCCAATACAGCCTATAGCGTCTTATCATTTTAAGCTTGTCTGTTCTGGTAATTTGTCTGTTTACTAATCAATACCACAAAGAAGAAATTACATAACCCACCCTTTCCTGCATGAGGCTGATTCCTAGCGTGTGTGACACTGATAAAACACCCCTCCTAACATTGATGCAGGCTACTCCCCTCTTCTTTGAGACAAACTCCCACTATACTGTTGGTACTTTGGGAGGAACCGACAAATAAAAGCACAAAGGAGGCCTCATCTTAGACAAAGGCAATACTTCATCTAACAAGTGGCTGAATTTATTCAGAATTAAATTAAATGTGTTATGACTTCCTAGAAGAGTTTTCTAGTAATGGAGGAACAATGAGTCTTCTTCATGAGTATAGATCGGATGAAAATAGAAAACTTGGGTAATTCCAGACACTTACGTATCGAGCTGAATGGGCCTTGCTTGTGCACCCATAAGGTGCTTGTGAAAACTTGGAAAAGCTTAGGAGGAAATGACACCAGTGGATTGCGTAATAAAAGATTCTGGGATGATGTGTAAATATTTCAATAAGATAAAAGTAAAGTGGAGGAGTTTACTTTATTTTCACTCATTGATTCTGTCTGACACACAGCAGTGTTACAGTTAAAGAAGACCTAAACAGGCTTTCTGAAACAACACATTGTTAGAGAACAACGGCTAAGCGGAAGAAAAAGGGGGATTGCAGGGGCAAAGTTCACACCAACAGTTGGCAATTTACTTCTTTTAAGCCAATTTTTAACAAGCTTTAAACACCATAGTAATTTCATCACACCTTGAAATGCAGAATTGAGTTATGAAACATTCACCCGCTCTTCAGTCTTACTGAATGACCCAGAAAAGTAAACTCAAAAACCGGGTTTAATTCAATCACTTAATACATACCTTAACAACCTACCTATATGTGGTTCTGATTGGATCTGTGCTACAGTGTTTACACAACAATTAAGCCACACAATTGGTTTATTGAGCTTGAGAAAGAAAGAAAAGAGGAGAAAGAGAAGAGAAAGACAGAAAGAGAGAAAAAAGAAATTTTTTTACACCATTTTAATCATGTAAAGGAATCTCTTGAATCACGATTCAAGAATTATACTTGTAATTTTAGAAAAATATCAGCAATCCTGTCCAACTACTCAACTAAAGCTTTGATAATTTTAGTCCACAATTGTTATTTTATCCAAAACAAAATCCCAATATAGTTTGATGATTGTTGAGTGACTGCATTTTCTGAAAAAAAAAAAAAAAAATCAAAGGATCTTTGAAGAACACATTTAAATATTAAAGTTGCATCCATCTGTGTTCTCCCTCCCCATACTGATTTTAAATGATGTTTTAAGACACAAAGACAAATATCAAACTGCAAAAACTTTGACAGAAGTTATAACTTTGAAGCCAACAGATAATGAACGAAAGATACATCCAAATCTATCTACACAAGTTTTATTAAACACATGTTGTTGGTTGATCGGTTTATATAACACACTTTTGGTCTATTTATATAAACTGTAAAAAAAAATAAATATGAAAAAACTGTTTTGTTTTTTTTTTACTTTAACCGATCAGTCATTAGCGGTGAGATCAATCTGTGAATGATTAGTTATCGCTGGCTCTTTCAAATATCATTAAGCTAAAAGAGAATCAGCTGCCTGAGATACTTAAATGATGGACCCGGGGCTTTAAATGTTATGTGCCTTAAAAATTATAGTTAAATGACAAATGATGCACTCAAAAAGGGCTTTATCGGTTTAATGTTAGCTGCAAATTTGGAGTACAAGAAATGCTTAAAACTCTAAATGTATCGAGATTAATGTTATTTAAATCACTGCAGGTGGTTTAAAGATTGATAACAAATATATCTAATAAAGAATATTAAAATATAAAATTAACCAATTGGATAACATTAGGTGCAAAATTTGAGGTTTTAAATATAGCACAACTTTGCTTAAGGTCAGCACAGACGGATTAATGTTTACTGCCTGAATGCATTTGTCCTTGTTCTCTGATCATCTTCTAAGCTGCAGCAGCTTTGCACCTTTGGAGGGTGTTTTAGTGCTACACTGGATCTTGTTGTAAGGTCACTTACTGTGTCTGTGAGCCACGATAATAAGGATGAACCTAATTCTCAAAGTGAAGTGATCACAAGAAGATTTAGATGGTTTGATCCTCTAATCCTGCACTCCTTAAGTAAAGCTCACATCCTAATGGAGACAAGAGTAAAGTTTGTATATCAGTCCTCTGAGGGCTACTACCAAGCACTCTATGAAAGCAGAGCTAAGGATGCACAGTAATAAGGCAGTATTTACTAGAGGTGAGTATTGGCATGAGTGCTGCGATTCAATACATGTCGCGATACTTGGGTCACGATACGATATTATCACGATATTGCAGTATCACCATATATTGCCATATTTTCTCCAGCTATCAAAAATCAAATGATGAGATAAAACAGCAAGTGCTGTATATTTTCATCAGAAATTGATTAGGTATTATTATCCATGTTGTTTGGGGTTTTCTTCCACTGTGACTGCCTCAAATACAGATTTGGTGCTGTACACACAGGTAAAGGGCTCCACAGCGCTCTCTGCCAGAGTGGTGGTGCAGAGGTAGCCCATTTTCCCATCAATGTTTTATGTAATCATTTTTTTTTTTTGAAAATCGATACTAAGAAGTGAAAGATCGATATTATATTGGGCAGCCGAATATCACGATATATCGACAAAACGATTATTTCCCACACCCCTAGTATTTACCATAAAATAAATGGTGTTGCATTGCTGTGGTTAATGCTTTTCATTCAGAGGATAGTTTGGTATCTATCCTAACAGGACTGACCTTCACTTCGCCTACATAATATCAGAAAAAAACATGGTTCACACTTTTTACTGCACTGCTTCCCTGAGTATGCTTATTTTTTTAACTGTTTATACAGCTTATTTTTACAGGAGAGGATTAGGGCCACTGAAAAAAAAAAATAAAGTTAACTGATTTTTTAATTTTATTTCAGTGTAATATGAGAAAATAAAAGTCAGAATTCTGACTTTAATCTCAGAATTCTGACAGCTAACATGTTAGCATCAAGCTTGTTTTAATCACGTTCTGCTCTTACATTAATTAAATAGCATCACTGGCGACCCCTCTGGCATGTAAAAAGTTGCCTAATGGCATCATTTTCCACCAATCCACAACTCACATCTTTGTCAGTGAAGCTGAGTGCTCCCACATCTCTTCCTTCATGGTGCCCATCTACATTAAGATCCAAAATTCTGAGATTAAATTCAGAATTCTGGGGGGGAAAAAAGGCAGAATTCTAAGAAAAAAATTCAGAATTCTGAGATTTAAGTCAGAATTCTGACTTAAATCTCAGAATTCTGA